TTTGTTTGTTTATAACTTCATTTGTCTTTTCAATTGATTTATGAGATTAAAAAATCGCTGAACTACAGGTGCCTTTAATTTACCTAGGATGACAGAACATATATATATGGATACCAGCTCATGATGATACTTTGTCGTTGTATCCTGCATGTGTCTGACATAAGTATGCAAAATGAACTTCGTGAAGTTTTCAGGATTTGATCTGTTTCTCAGTTACAATATAAATATGTGTATTTGAAATGTAGAATAGTTGGGAGAAGTATATGTTGTTCTGACATGTTGTTCTGACATGTCATGTTGCCATGACCTGAATTTCACATAAACAAACCCAACCAAAAACAGAGGTACACTGAGGGTTTCAGTTCCTGTTAAGTTTTCATTTATGGAATGACTGTAATATTTTTTCTGTCTATGAATAACATAAAAAATGTGGTTCACACTGAATAACCCGGGTAGCGTGTTATTTAAAAGTGTGCACAACATTTTTTATACGCCCGTTTACGGGACGTATTATGGTATACCAATGTCGGTCTGTCCGTCGTCAACATGTCGGACATTAACTCAAAATTGCTTTCACCAATTTGCATAAAATTTTAGTGAATTGTTTATAGGTGTAATACCACCAAATCATAGTACGTCACATCCGGTTGCATACGAAAATAGGTCGAAAAAAAATATTCCCTTGAATTTGACAGTTGTAGGTAATTGATCCTACATTTCATTGCAGTAAAACATTTCTGGGTCATAAACATATATATTGGGTATTTCAAAGCACCATTATTTTTTTATTTGGGGTTTCTATAGAATATTTTGGAAACTTGAGGTTACATGGTTACTAAAGCTTGTACACAGGTTAAGAAAGGGGAAAAATTTGATTGGTTAACTTCCAGTGATGGTTATTTTCTTATATGCAATGAAATGTTATGTGAATTTTTTTCTATAGTACTGGACAGGATAAAACTTTACTCATGCCAAGTATTTCTTTATTTGAAACAAAGATAAATTCTGCACAATTTTTTGAAAAGTGCAAATTTAACAAAGACTAATAGGGGAAAATCAATGGTGGTATAACACCTAATACGCTATTGACATGAGCTTCCTTTCGATTTTTATAAATTTTAGATTTTACGTTTCCGAGTTGCAAGGTTTTATTCATAAAAAAAGGGGGGATTTTCCAGTTTTCGGACAAAAACTCAAAAATGCTTTCAGCAATTCTTATGAAACTTTGGTGAATTGTTTGTATGTTTAAATGTAAGCTCCCTTTAGAATTTTATAAATTTTACATTTTACATATCTGAGTTTATATGGGGTTTTATTCATTAAAAAAGGGGTGATTTTCCAGTTTTCGGACAATAACTCAAAAATGCTGTCACCAATTCTCATGAAACTTTGGTGAATTGTTTATATCTATTGATGTAAGCTCCCTTTTTATTTTCATAAATTTCTAATATGACATTGAGAATTAATTGAACTTTATTTGTTTAGTCTGACAACAGATATACTAAGTATTGCACAACAGCAAGAAATCTTTAATTGAATATAAATTCAATTCATATAACCAATTTCAAGTTCTTTGACTACATTTATTCAGAAACCTATAATATGTCAAATATTTAATTACAATCCAAATTCAGACCTGAATCAAGCTTGAATATTGTGTCCATTTTTGCCCAAACTGTTCAGGGTTGGACCTCTGCGGGCGTATCTAGCTGCGCTCAGCGAAGCAGTTTATTTAGGGTTATTTCGAATAGACAGAAAAAAATATTACAGTCATTCCTTATAATTTGATTCTAAATTCTACTTTTAAGGAGTAAATCATGAAAAAAACATTGATGACGTCACGATCACATGACAAAATTATGTCTATGATTTGATAGACAAAAAAAAATCAGCCAATCAGAAGACGTGTTACATCCAAAATTGAATTATCTTTTATTAACGTTATCCAGACAAAGCCATCGAAAGCAGCATAACTAGCATTCTTGTTCCAGTTTTTCGTGTAAATTTTGGGGATTATTTTGTAAGTGTTGTTTTGATTTGCTGTGTTTAATGATATCCTTTAGCTTGTTACTTTTGTTTTCCTCTTAGCTTTCCCAAGCACAGAGTGTATAAATGGAATGATGGAAAGTTTTCTTCATATAAGATGAAGGGCCAATTTCTCCATTAATTCATTTCACATCATAGCAATTTAAAAAGAGTTTTTGAATCATCACTTAAATTCGCAATATAGCAGCTTTCAGTTTATATAGTGTATACTTTCAGTTTTGTTTTTAACAACATAATGGTGTATTTCTGAATATTTAACAAAATTATAAACGTCTGAATATAGAACAATTAAATTGCAAGTTTGATGGATTTTGACAAATAATGAGTTCTTTTCCAAAAAAAATGATATGAACATTCTTAAACAAAACAATATTCTAATTGAAGTAAAGCCTTGAATTTTCTTACAGATACGCATTAATTCATATTGTTTGAATGTATTCGTTGAAAAGTTTTACAAACTCATGCAACTTGCAATAACGTTGTCAAAATTGCTTTTAATATGTATAACATTGTGTCGCCTTTGGATAATTTCTTTTCTATGTTTAAGATATATAAAATGGTTAAAAAAAAAATTTTTAAAATAATATCTAGACTCTGCAATATTCAAAATCTGGTCCGTTTCAACGGCTTTTGAAATTTAATAATGTGAGTGAAACAAATACAGGGGAAGTAGTAGGTCATTCTATATGTATTTTTTCCTATATTATCCTTTTTATTTCAATAAAGTATTCATTTTTATTTTCCTCTTGCTGATTTTGTAAGTTACAGTACATATTCTTAGGTTTTCTGACCTTTTCCTGACTAGTTTCCTGGTGCCAACACGACTTTCATATATATATATTTATCTTACCTCCTATAGATTTATAGGTATATGATTGGTTAAAGGACTACACGTGGTGACTATGTATATTTGATATAGGATGTCCTAAAAAATATAGGGTTAGTTCATTCATTCATTCATCACTTTCATCAGTCACGTCTCAGTCATTACAACTGAACGGACGTGCTGGGTCAGCTCTCCTTTACCCGCTATCTTCGATGAGGGTTTACTGTTAGATGGATCAACGACTTACTACTATCGATGACATAAACCAATCCAACGCTGTACAGACTACGTTAGGCTATAATCCGCGTAGGGCTAATTCCCGCGTCAACATACACTCCAAAACCCATTATGGATGGGGGAGTGGTATGCCGATAGACGTCCGAGGGCTGTATCCTAGGTGTTAGATGATGGACCATCATATCACTGTCTCACGACTTTGGTCCTGATAATGCTTCCTGTCATCGTTATTACTATGTCCGAGACTCATCGACCAGTACTCCATCATCGTGGTTAGCGGGCTGCCAAGCTGACCAACCTGGCCCTGAAAGCAGCCGTTGTGAAGCAATAAAACATCAAAATAGTCAACAAACCAAATCAACTCACCAAAACCAAGATGGCGGCCTACCAAAATGGCGCATTCCACCTGTTCCTGTCCGACTGCAGAAAATATTTAAACGCTCACCAAAACGCCTTCGGGCACCGAGCCGACCGTGCAAGGGCTGAACAGTCAGTCAAGGGCGTTAAACACTTCCAGTAGTTAGGGTTAGTTACCATACATAGTAAGTTACCATATGGGGTTAGTAAGGAGTTACTTCCCTTTCAAAACAAAAAAGATGGCACGACCCTTTATAAAAACAACACGGTGTTGAGGAAAAATCTGAAAGGTTTCAACAGACCAAGAAATTGATGATGAAAGATTGAAATAAATTCATAAAACATAATTAAAGCTAACAAGTTGTTATTGTTGGCATTAAGGAGTTACTTCCCTTTTAAAACAAAAAAGAAATCTGAAAGGTTTCAACAGACGAAGAAATTGATACATGAAATGAACGACTGAAATAAATTTATAAAACAAATTTAAAGCTAAAAAGTTGTTATTGTGGGCATTTCTTTTCTGTATAGACATATGGAAGTAGGATCTTAATACTAAGTATTGAAGACTTTAAAATCATTTTGACAGGTCGCTAGTCAAAATACCACATGTGAAGATAGTCGGTAAGATAAATTCGTTACACGGTGTGCTAGTGACCTAATACAATATATATGGGGTCAGTAAATTCCATATGGGGATTCGAGCTTCGCTTCAGGTATATCGTATTAGGTCACTAACACACCATGTAACTAATAATATATGGTAAACAGTATCCTACACAAAAACTATGTTATTTGCAATGCATTATGTTCTTAATGAATCCTAGTTAACATAGGAAAGAAATATAGGACTAATTTCGTCAGCATTTAATTTGAAAAGGCATCGTCAATAAAGTTATTAGGCACCTGAAAATAACACTATATAAATTATATGCGTCCGTGGCGTTTTTCTGGATTTATCATCAATATGAACGCTCAATCTTATTCAACAATCACTGATTAAATTTATAAATGCTTAATGATTATCCAATATCTCATTTTTAAAGGCAGTGCTTTAATGCCTTTCTGGTTGCCGGGTCAATCTTTCCTTCCGCGATATCCAACTTATCTACGTGGGGGGTCATTAGGCTCCAAGTAGATCCGGAAATGTTGAATTCTCTCCTCTTCTTATTGTGATATAAAATGTTTTTTGTTTCATTTCATTTACATTGCGAAAAAGAGAAACGATCATTGTGTTTTGTTAGTTTTAAAAACTTTTGATATATTTGTATTTTGCATTATAAGCAGTCAACCGATTGAAAAAAACTAGAATTATTTGAATTCCGTATGATAGAGGTCGGGTTAATTTCGAGTGTTATCTGCATCTAGATGATTATAAATCATTTCAGTCGTTGATATAATAATTAAAGGTCGACTGAACATGAATTATATTATACAATTTAAAGCGTATTTCTGTTTATGCACGTGAACCCGTCTAACGTTATTGTTATTTGGCAGTTATATAAATTAGCAAAATATCGTTTCTGAATAAGTGGCGCCGTGGTAGCCGATCCTGTTCCTCAACTTCCTGTTTCTGCACTGTGCAACTATTACAGTTACATTTTTAATTAACGATGCCAAGTACTTGTTTTTGTGTACCTGGATGTCATTTAAGAGGAGGACATGCATTTCCAAATGTCTTAAAAAGAAGGCAAAGTTGGATCAACGCCATGGCTTATACGCAGATTGGACGAGAACACGATGAAATCGTGGAGTCCATCTCAATCAGCTGTTGTTTGCAAGGCACATTTTACTGAAAAAGACTACGTGCAGGAAACTATTCATGGTAAAACTCTATTTTCTTTTTGAAATATATAGTTATATATGTAATCGCCATGCGAAAAAACCAAAGTCTGTTTACAACCGCAATTATCGTTTTAGAATAAAAGGGGGTGGTTAATTCAAGACGTCATAATTTTTTGGATTACGATTCAATGTGATCTGTTTGAGATTTTTTGGTGATTACTACAATTATAATGATTTCTTACAAGAGTTATATCATACTGAGAATTATTTTAGCAGTAATTATGCTAATGTAGTAATGACAGGAATGCATAAGCTATGCCTCATAGACTTTCTTGAAATATATCAATGACAATGTTAACAGGAACAAAACAATGACATGCTCTCATCTATATTATAGCTTTTTAGGTACAAACAATGTACGTTTGTTGAATAAGTCTCTCATTGTTTGTCCTTTGGATTTACATAACATACATTGAATCAGGCAAACATAGTTTTATCCAGATTGTAATGAATAAATCTAGTTAATATTTTGCCAGGTAGTACAAAGTATACATTGCTAATGGAAGTTCATTTAATTATAAAAAAACTAATGTTTTATAACCTTTTTCAGGGCGCAAACCCACCATACAGAGACTTAAGTCTACTGCCATTCCCAGCCTATTTTCCTGGACCAAGCAAGAGACTGAATCGTCCGCAAAAAGAAAAATCAGGGCAGTTTCCTGTGAAAACAAAAGAACTAAACTTGATGAATATTGTAGTAGAAATATAGAGGAAAGTTTTGATAATAAAGTTGGTTTTCTTGAAGAAGTCATTCATACTGCAGAAAGGATTTATGACTGTCCACCACCAACTGCCGAGCTAATGTTGAGCTTCGCAGATGGAATTACGCAAACACCATCAATGCATATGTTTTCAGCAGAGAATTTTGAAATGAAGACACGTGACACAGCCATGCATTTTTATACCGGTTAAGAATTGTATACTAAATTTTTATTTGTTTTGAGCACACTTGGTCCAGCAGCACATTGTTTGAGATACATATATTTTCAAATTGATAGGGTGTCAGTTGAAAATTAGTTTTTTTTATGACTTTGATGAAATTGAGGCATTATACAACCAACTTTGAACTGTCTAGATTCTAGATTGAATCTAGTGTTAAGAATATTGTGTATAGATATAAGAAGATGTGGTATGAGTGCCAATGAGACAACTCTCCATCCAAGTCAAAATTTATAAAAGTAAACCATTATAGGTCACAGTACGGTCTTCAACACGGAGCCTTGGCTCATGTATAGTTTTTATGTCTAAACAGTAGTGTGAGGCTAACACTTGGCCATCTAGTGGTTTAGTCAGGTATTTTTCGCCATCCAACTTCAAATTAAAGTTTCCTACAACTTGGATTATTATTGACAGCACAGAATATCCCGTGATAAAACCTAAAGCTCCTAGAGCTCAGGCATCCTTTTCATCATATAAAAACAGAAACACTGAAAATACTTGTATGTTCGACACCTGGTGGTTTAGTCAACTATGTCTCTAATGCATATGTTGGTTGTACCAGTGACTGTGAAATAGTTGAAAGATGCATAATAGTTCAATTATGTGATCCAGGTGACAGTGTGATGGCAGACAAAGGTTTAAATGTGCAAGATTTGTTTGCTAACTTTTTTCAAAAAAAGAAACAGAATTAGTTCCAAAACTCTTATACAGGATAGAATTCTCCAATTAACACTTGCACATATAGCGAATTATTGGACTTGGCAAAACATACTAAATTCTAATAAATCCTATGAATGGAACTGAAACAAAAATTTCATCTGAAATAACATTTAGTTGTTTTATGTTGTGTAATTTTAGAACTTGTATTGTGCCAAAGGATTCATAAATAAAAGTGACGCAATGAATTTTGTTCTGATAGACAAAAGTTTAAATACCCTGGTCAAGAGCAGACGACTCTGTGGAAGACTTACATTTGGTTCGCAATAAGAATGTGTTATATAATACTAAATGTCTAAAGATGAATACAATTTTTGTAGATTGGTAGATTTTGAACATGTACTGCTGAAATGAATTTTGCAACCAAAACCAAATTCTATTGAAAGCAAATCGATTTTTTACAGATACAAATAATATGATAAAAGATATAATTTGTGACTCAACAGTTCATTATGATTGTATTGATTTGGGTGACATTAAAATGGTAAAGTTGTATATGGCATGAGAGTTAGTCACCCCCTGGTTTTGGTGGGGTTCGTGTTGCTCAGTCTTTAGTTTTCTATGTTTTGTTTTATTTACTGTTGTTTGTCTGTTGGTCTTATTTTTTCTTTTTTTGCCATGGCGTTGTCAGTTTATTTTCGACTTTTGAGTTTGAATGTCCCTTTGGTATCTTTCGCCTCTCTTTTAGACTCTTTCATATGCAGTTCTAGCAGAGTTTAACACCTGTGACACTGTGAGTGAAAGACTTTCAGTGAAAATTGACATCACTCCATTTGAGTATGTATCCAAAAATAAATAAAAGGACATCCAAAACCAAAACAAAACTACTATCGGAATTAAACTTTTGTTTTATCCTTTTAGAAACAAACTGATTCGTTTCGGCAATGATTTTGACTACGTATATATTTTTACGCAAGTTTTTGTTTTACTTCATAATTGTTGCCTTGAAACAAATATTTAGACAGTTTAAGGCAAGATATGTTTTTTTTGTTGTTGTTAAATAATGACATTTTCACATGTATTTGCACCATTAGCAACATTTTGTATGGACACAAAATTTATCTTTTCCAGATAAATGTATATTTTGTGTGTAGAAAGATCCATAAAGTAGACAGGTTGTTTTCCCTTTTTTGCCTTTTTCAAATTTATGCCCATCTAGCCGGAAATATCAACAATTGAACTGAAAAATCAAGAAAATTTGAACATCCTTCTAGGTTGCACTTTGTAAATACAGCTGTTTCTCAAACCAAGCCTCTTTTGGGGAGATATAGATTATTCATAGATAATTAATTTTGTTTACATACTGGTTCCCAGTTATAATCTCTATGTTTCATCTCATAGAGACATAACTTGGGAATGTTACCAGTAAATATACATATGCATATTGTTTATATTGAAATCTGTGGTAATCCTACAGTTAAGGTAGGGGTAGTTAAGAAATTTAGTGTTAGTTTAAACTCTTAGAAGTTCGGGTCATATAAACGTTGGAAATATGCCGCACAGCCCTATATTTTGACCTTTAAAAAAAATAGTAGTGCATATGAACTTTCCATTCTAGGATATAATTTTTTTCAAAACTTCATAGTAAAAGTGGTACAGTTTTAGCCGTAAAAGGAGTTCCTATGGGAAATTGCATTGTCAATATTTACAGAAATGCAACCTATAAGAGAACATATTCTTAATTCACTCAAAAATAAGTTATTTTGGTAGAATTATTCAGTATTTTAAATCATGTTACTTTTAAATATGTATTTTAAGGTAATTTATGAGTATTTGTTTTAATTTTTCAAAAGAATGTAGGTCATACAAATGTATAACAGTGTAAATTTATTTTATATATAAAAACAAATATAAACGTTGACTAGATGTTTTGACGAATTGCTAAATCTTAGATTTTGAAAGAAACCGCTCAGCAAAAAATAGTTGTTTTATGTATGAAAAATGTTGTAAATAAGTATACTGAAGACTATCGTAACGGTCTTTTTGCTGCTCTATAATTTTTTTTATCTTTAAGGTTTTGATAAGACATTTATCTAAATTTTGACTTTAATACACACCAGGTATCCCGATCCGAAATCCGCGCAGGGATCCGAATCCAGAGGAACATTTACACTTTGTCACGTGCAATTTGTAAGAACAATCTGGATCCGATTCCCATGGAGGATTGTCGTGTATAAAGAAGATAAATTACCGTTGCCGCAAGTGTCCAGTTACCAAGTCTTATATTTTCAGTTGTTTGGATAGTCACCACAATCTGTTACCCTCCAAATTATCATTTACATTAAATGGTTTCAATGAAAACGTATGGGATATATGCACATTAGGTAAAACCTCCATGAATTCTTACGAAATAACCAATATGTCAAAAGAATGGCTTCCTTATTGTTGTTACTCATTTTAAAAGTCACTACAAATTTGATCGTTCGATTGTTGCTCGATAAGTCTTCACAATAATAAAACAAAAGTAAACAAAAAGATAATCTTAGGGGATAATCGTGTTCTTTGCAGGAAAACTTGACAAAGCATTCGTAAATTAGATGTTTCGCTAGTTCAAATTTTCTGTTTTTGTTTATACTACATATAGAACTTGAAATCTATGCAAATAATACACTTCCAAACAATCAAATAGGAAGAATAACCACAGTTGTTTTATTCAAACTGCAGGGAAAAGTTTAGCTGCGGAACCGTAGCTCTTAGGTCCTTATGTTATTTTTTGACTATTTGCGGACCATAGAGCTACGGATTTTTCCTATTTCAAAACGTTCGGAATTGCGACCCAGGTTCAGGTCGCACTTATTTCCCAAAAAATTATTGCTTATCGTCCATGCAAAGCTTGTCAATATATATAGTTCGTTTCGTTAGACATTTGTCTAGGATATGACGTACCTATTTATGTTTGAATATTCATTTCCTTAACACTATTATCTAATTATTCCCATTTGTATACATTCTCCGCCTATTTTGTTCGGCCATATTGAATCTCGTCGTGACGTCACAAAAACAAGAAAAGATAACTCTTGGAAGAAAACACGTGTTGGTTTGTTTATGTTGTCTTTTATTTTATTTTTATGACTTTTTGAATGAAATAACGTGTAATTAAAGTTAATTACTAACGGAAATAATAATTCTTCCCAGCAATTTAAATATTTCGTATGAATTAATGTTGTAAAGCCTTCAAAACACTCGATTCTCGCTTAGAAATAGGTAAACAAACCAACACGTGTTTTATTAAAAGAGTTATCTTTTCTTGTTTTTCGTAGGCGTTCCTCGCCTCCAACATAGGAGATCGAGGATATTAGAGTTATCTTTTCTTGTTTTTCGTGACGTCACGACGAGATTCAATATGGCTGAACAAAATAGGCGGAGAATGTATAAAAATGGGAATAATTAGATAATAGTGTTAAGGAAATGAATATTCAAACATAAATAGGTACGTCATATCCTAGACAAATGTCTAACGAAACGAACTATATATATTGACAAGCATTGCATGGACGATAAACAATAATTTTTTGGGAAATAAGTGCGACCTGAACCTGGGTCGCAATTCCGAACGTTTTGAAATAGGAAAAATCCGTAGCTCTATGGTCCGCAAATAGTCAAAAATAACATAAGGACCTAAGAGCTACGGTTCCGCAGCTAGGAAAAGTTATGCCTAATTTCACATTACATCTTAATAACAAAAACAATCAAGATTTTACATTCAAGTGCATGTTGATTTAAAGCCTTCTTTTGCCACAATTCCGATAAATACGACGACTAGTTCGGCTAAACACGTTTGCTAGACAGAGAATTGATGGTGTACCAAAAGCCTTATGACACTATATTTGTTCACGTAATAGTGTTTTGTCTTGGTAGATCTTAATTAAAGGTTTATATGACATGAAAGGTCACAAACTAACGTTTTGCCTGAAAATGCAACATTTTGGCGCATACAAATGAGCAACTGACAACCACAAAAAATTGGAGATCGAAGACGAACCGAGCTTATGCTTTTCTGCATATAAATCACTGCTTAAGCACTTCTTATTAAAGAAGATTTTTATATATCTATAATTTCATTCTTTTATATCCTTTATAGGTCGTATCGTTCTTTAGTATGATTTCTTTTAAGTTCCAATCATATTAAAACATCGAAATTTAGTGTTTTATATTAAATAACAATATCTGGTGATAGCATATCAAGAAAATAACTTTTAATCCCATTATGGAGATAAAAAGAGGTTCAAATCATCCTTCTCGTTTTGTAGTATTGAAAAATAATCACCATAAAAAACAAATGAGGGAAATTGCTGATCTTGTGTAAAAAGTTTATTTTCAGACATGATATTTCACCTTGTAGAAAATAATCATAATGAAATTTGTAAAGAAAAAAAATATAATGTTCTGTTTGAACTCTGACATTATTGTCATTTTAATAGATTTCAGTCAGATTTTAGTATTTTTTTTACAAT